TTTCTTATTATATTGACAAGTAATAACAAAAATTAATATGATATAGGGATGGCAATGCCAAAAAGTACAGAAACAATGTAGGGGTGAATACAGAAAACCACACTAAAATCACTACATAAATGTTGAATTCCTTTCATTTGCATGAACTTAGGTTTGAATAAAAGCATTTAAACTGAATAATGCTATTAAGTCTTACTCTGACTAATTCCCATAAGCTTGCAACATTGACATGTGGCTACTTGAATTGCGTTAGTTGGTGGATTTGATATGTACAAGTACCAATGTAGATTCAATTTTCGAAGGTCAGAGATTCAGACTGGGTGATGATATTGTTATGTCAGTATTCATGTCAAACTGAAAGCCATTCATTCGTATTAATACTATAGTATTAGACTGGAAAGTTAAGCTATGTATTTATCTTTCTCTACAGTTGTATTCAGCTAAAAGTATTGTGGCATTCAAATGACATGCTCTGAAAGTTTCATGCTGGAGAACTGCTATTTTTGATACATTATCACCACTGTTAAAGTGGCTGTTTTTGTGATGGTATTGGCTGGTTTCAAGGTTGAATTGCCAGGGGACAAATAGGATTATCAGCCTTTATGATGCTTGACATCTGTTTTTTGTCTTCTTCAGCAACTACAAGATGAAATTGCAGAGGTCACTGCAGAGATGGAGAAGCTGGAGGCCAAGGATGAAAGGTAGTCTTTTTCCTTCATAGTAATATATAAATTATATGAATGTGCTTTTCAGTAAATGAAGACTGTGCCTATATGAGGTTTGGTTTTCTATTTAAAATGTAAGATGTGTCTTCTTTTTGTAACCCAGTGGCACAGTGGTATGTCTGTGGACTTACAATGCTAGAAACTGGGTTTTGGTACCTGTGGTGGGCAGAGCACAGATAGCCCATCGTGTAGCTTTGTGCTTAATTACAATCAAACAAACAAACAAACTTTTAATAATCACACATCTGACTAATATTAAGCTGGTTTGATTTAACAAATTCTTGTACCATAATTGGGTTTCTTTTTCTGTAAATATCTGAAATACTGAACATGTAACGTGTGAAGTTTAATAACCAAATTGATTAGTTAGATTGAAATATACTTGTAGGCTCTTAATGGAATGTATTAATTTACATGTTTCAAGTTTAACTTGACCAAAAAGATACCTCAGTGAAGCATACTTCACTAAGGTGAAGTAGTTATATAATGACAACTTCTATATAACATAACTATTTAGAACCTGAATGAAAATGTTTGGTTATATATTGAAGTTTAATCATCTCTGGAAAACTATAACTATACATCCTATCTTAGGCAAGATTTGTTAAAGCCATTGAGTCAGTAGGTCATTGAGTTTTAAAACATCTGGACAAAGTTGTAGGATCTGGATCTGGTGGGGAAGTTGTTACTCTATCAACTGCTGTATTAAAAAAAGTAATTTAACCTTTAATTAATTTTAAAAATGTAAGTAATTACACAAATATGTTAATTATGAGAAACTTGTTTTACGGGTTTTTTTTCCTTTTTATTCCATATGTTCTTTAAGAGAAATAGTTTGTGAATTATCATCTTAGTGTTTTATTAGTATAGGTGTATTTCATAATTAGGGGTAAGCATTGCAAGTGTTATTTATTTCTAATTTTGGATATATCAAAGCAATTTGCCCAAAGAATTATGGTTCGTTTAAGGAAAATGACTGATGACCAATGGGAAAGGACCTGTATGGTTTCTTTTGTTTTGTACCTTCAGTGGCCAAGTATCTAAAGCTAAGTGTATTGAAGATAAAAAATTTTCTCTTCTTTGTTCCTGGTTTCACAGTGATCCTTTAGTAATTGCTTTGTTTCAGCCTTCAACATGCTATATGACTTACAGGAATTTTACCTATCTCTTATTTTGTACATATGTGCTGGTTTGGTCATGTAGTTGGTTTCCATTGTGTCAACTTTCAACATGCTATATGACTTACAGGAATTTTACCTGTCTCTTATTTTGTACATATGTGCTGGTTTGGTCATGTAGTTGGTTTCCATTGTGTCAACCTTCAACATGCTATATGACTTATAGGAATTTTACCTGTCTCTTATTTTGTACACATATGTTAGTTTCTTCATGTAGTTGGTTTCCCTTGTGTCAACCTTCAACGTGTTGTGTGACTTACAGGAATTTTACCTGGCTCTTATTTTGTAATATCTCCTGGTTTCTTCCTGTGGTTGGTTTCTCTTGTGTCAGCCTTCTACAAATTGTGTGGTGTATAGGAATTTTACCTGCCTCTTATTTTCATACATGCATATTAGTTTCTTCATGTAGTTGGTTTCTCTTGTATCAGCCTTCTACATGTTGTGTGACTTACAGGAATTTTACCTGTGAATTATTTTGTAATACCTGCTGGTTTCTTCCTGTGGTTGTTTTCTCTTGTGTCAGCCTTCTACATACTGTGTGGCATACAGGAATTTTACCTGCCTCTTATTTTCATACATGCATACTAGTTTCTTCATGTGGTTGGTTTCCCCTATGTCAGTCTTCTAGATGTTCTGTGACTTTACAGGAATTTTACTTATCTCTTATTTTGAATCTACATGCTGGTTCCTTCATGTGGTTGGTTTCCTTTTAAGCTCTTCAAGTACAATGCTATATTGTAGAGATTCTGGTTCTATATAGTTTATAGGTTATATTTATTACTGAAATATTATGACTAATTTATAGGCATTTTTAAACATTTCAAATTCTAAACCTCGATTGTACTTTTTTTAATTAAGTAAGAGTGCAAGAAAAATCATATGAAACTTTATTAGTCATAAAATTAATAACTTACTATTAATGACGGCTTTACAACTTTTATTTATTTTCACAGTGATCCTAATGCCTAAATCATTTGAATTGGTACACGTACAACAGATTAATCAATTATAATAGAAATATTTTTCCAAATTAAGTTTCTTTTTTGTTATTTAACTTTTTTAATGTTTTTTTTTTAATTGAAGTTTGGTCTTTTTTTTTCAGTAAAACAAATACAAAAACAAAACAGTTATCTATAGGGAAGAAGAAATTTAATATGGATCCAAAAAAGGTACGGAATGTTGTTTTTTATTTTATACGATAAAATATTTTTGTGAAAGAATTTTTCTCACAATATATAAGTTTAGCTGTTAGCATTCTTTATCCAAAAATTGTTCCCTTTGAAGAAAGCTATTTAAAAGAATATTTGAATATGTTATGCAAAGTGTAAGTGAAATAAGATTATGAGGATAAAACTCCAACTTCAACAGTCTAATTTGTGCATAAATTGTTTTTATTGTAAAAATGAAGTAGCAGAATTATTGTAGTAGTAATGTATTGATACTATTATTCTGATTGTTTGTACGTACGACCTTAACGCTTTATGACCGAGAACCTGCTGCATAAGCATGCGTAGTTAGAATGTTTCCCCAAGAAAACCACACATGTGCATTATTCACTCGACGACAAACAGTCTGCCTGCACCGCCAGAGAGCTGCAAAGCTCAGTGATCAAGTCACTACAATTGCTGTATGAAACAAGAAGTAACAGCAAAAGGGGAATGTAAATATACTTTACTAACCATTTTGTACAACAGAATATTAAAAACTTATGAGAGTTTTTAAAAAAGGTTTGACGTTAGGTCGTAGAATAATATTATTAGTTTATTTATCGATAGTATTAAGTGCAGTAAAATTTACTCCTAACTAAACTAAAAAAAACGTACACAGATTACAGTGTTTATTTATCTCTTTATCAAACTTAAGCCTACCGTAAGTTAAAGTTTTATAAAGTACAGCTTATATATAAGTGGATTTACACATTTCGTTGTCTACGATTACAATTCGTTTGTATTGTGCTAGAAATGTTATATTTAAAGAAGTACTGTTACGATAAAGATACTAATTTATCTCTTTATCGAACTTAAGCCTACCGTAAGTTAAAGTTTTATAAAGTAGGGCCTATATATAAGTAGATTTACACATTTTGTTGTCTACGATTACAATTCGTTTGTATTGTGCTAGAAATGTTATATTTAAAGAAGTACTGTTACGATAAAGATACTAATTTGGCCGGAAATGTTTTGCGGGTCTCTGCTAGTTTTAATTAAAAGTATTATATTACAAACTACTGAAACTAACTTTTAAGTTATTATGAACCAAGTAATAAAAACATTCTATTCTAATAATTGAGTGTTATTTTGGAGAATATACATCTAAGTTATAAGTATTTATCATTTTATAAGAATTTACATTTTCTAGATGATAATATAACAGTGTGTATATGGTATCAAGAATTAAGACCGGCTTCTGTTTCTAAGAACTCGTCAGTGAAAGCAAAGAAAAATTTGTTATAATATACCAACCACACTATGTCTGTAATATCTGGTGCTAATAAGGTCTATCACCCAATACAAGGGCTCATTGAGCCAGATGGGATACGAAAGACATAGTAGTGGTCTAGGTGCTGTATGTATCATCAGTTTACATAAACAACAACTGTTGTGATGTGAAAATAGATTATGATTTTCATGTAAGTGGTTTACAACTCATATTTTATAAGGCACAATACATTACATTTATTCTATTTTACAAGCATAAAAATGCTTATAATTCTGTCTGCTATTTGGAAGTTTGATTATATAGCAAAATTTAACATTTCTATTAGGAAAACTTGGTTTACATTTTCATACAGTTTACTCAAGGTAAGTTATGTACTATAAGATTTTAGTAATGTAAGTATTTGACAAGCCCTTGTAGTTTGTTTGCTTAATCACATAGGTGAAGGAGGAGCAATGTTAACTTAGTGACACTGAAATAAGTACAGTCCCCTATCTTTAGAAAAATAAACAAAAAAGTGAGGACCGAGCATCAATAATTAAAATCTTCTACAGTAGAGCCACATTATCACTTTAACTGTTACTGTACAAAAATAGTTATTTTTATCATGGTTATTAAATATACCCTAAAAATGACAATATTATAAAGTAGACCTAATTGATTAGATCTTGACAAACCATTATTGAGTGATATAATTTATATGAAATATAAAAAAGCTCATTGTGGGTACTATACAACTACAGAAATTATTCAAATCATTTATATATATATATTATCTGTTGATATATTAGTTAACTAACAGTTTTTAAGAAATTGCTATGCTTCAAGCATGCGAGTTATTTTAATCTTGCTGATCATCATAATGTCTGTGATGCCTTTCTTAGGGTATTGAATATCTCATTGAACATGGATTGCTTCAAGACACAGCTGAAAATGTAGCTCAGTTTCTTTATAGAGGAGAGGGACTCAACAAAACAGCCATAGGAGACTACTTAGGAGAAAGGTCAGACAGATTTGTTTTATCTGAATCTGGTTCTGTTTTTCACAAGAGAAGATAATAAAAAAATGTTTTTGAATTTTTATCATTAAAATTAAAAAAAAATGGTTTGTAGATTGTTATAACAAGAAATAAAAGTAAATATTTGCTGTAGTTCAATGTGTAGATTTTTCTTAAGTGTTTATCTAATTAACAAAAGCATATTCCCAGTTTCTGACTTTTGAGTTTTGATAAAACAGTTTTCAAGTGTTGAACAATGATTTTTTATTTCAATATACAAATTCTAGGAATGATTTCAATATGAAGGTTTTGGATGCATTTGTGGATCTTCACGATTTCACTGATTTAATCTTGGTTCAGGCATTGAGGTATTTTTATTTTATTTCTTCTTTGAATCACAAATTTTTATTTCTGTTTTATATGCTGTCCTGTTGTTTTGTTATCTTACTGTGTCTGTATTGGTATCATATCTATATGGCCAGTAAATGTACGATGAAAGAGGCATCCACCTTTTCATTGTTTGTTGATGATATTTTTTATTTTATGTAACAGAAACATTGGATACTGTTTAAGACCCTCGTGTTTGTAAATCTAATGTACTTACTCATTTTAGTTGATGTAACAAGTTTCTTTCAGTCATGTTTTTTAATGTTGATATTTTGAACAACTGTCACATATTATCTTTGGTGCATATAAGTTTTAGAGCTTTATAGTAGAGATGATATGAAGCTGAGACAGAGAACAGGTAGGTATAGAATCTATAGAACATTTACAACTGTAAGTTCTTGATGGAAAACTGGAATAGAAAAATAACAAAAACTTTGATAACCTGAGTGCCTTCTGAATGAGAAGATCTACCAATTGTCCAAAAAGAATGATTATTCAATTAAGACTGTAAATAATTGCCTTTAACCTGGAACACCTTCATCAGAACTTAAAAAATAAAATATCCAATTCACCATCATTTTACCTTATGCTCCTGCCACCATCTAAAAGTACCTTTTCCAAATCCCTCTTCTGCTTTTTTCATTTCTGAATCCATTTGTAACCTTAGATGCAGAAACCACTCAATTGTCTTATGAGAGACTGTGTTTAAACTACAACAAATTAACATAGCTAAGTCTAACTACACTGATGAAACCTAAGGATAAATTCAGATTAGCTGACCAAAAAAGTCAACAGAAATTAAAATCATCATGTTAAAGATAATCATATTCTGCCAACAGTTTTGACGGATACACAGTATCAATAATTTAGAACTTTCCTGTTTAATCTATGGTAGTTTTTGTTTCCATAACTTGTGAGACCCTCACGTTGCAGTAGGCATTCCAGAGTTACACTTGTCTTGGTGGAGAGAATTTTTGAAGAAGTATGTAGAATGCTGAAAAAAGGAATTATTTAATCTTTGATAGGTTGATGATTTAACAATTGATATGTATCAGAGCCATATGTTCAGGAACACATTTCAGACATACTACTTATCCCATCACAAACATGACATTAATCTTCTACAGATAAAACTCCAATCACAGGATGTGGCATCAAAGGTCTCTTCCTGTGATTATACTGTGACACATCAGTATGTCACCTAACACTATATGAGCAGCATGTACTTGATTCAGTTGATCAGAACCGGACTTCTGTTAACAACAGTGATTAGCATGATGCAGATGACCAATTGGCATTACTTTAGATTCATGTAGACTGGGAGGTTATATGAAGTTAAAGTTTGTTTCAAATGGATATCATGTAATGCACATGCAATAAATACTAATGTTTAGCCTGTGCAGTATGATACGTGTGCTGTTATAATGAAATGTGATGACATTAATTCTTCCACCTGAGATGTGTTATTGCATTTGTTAGCGATTACATAACTTTTCTAACATTTTTTCAGATGTAATTAATATAAAAGATCTGATTTCTTTTATTACACACTTGTTTTAAGTTACAGGCTCTACCACTAATAATTACTAGTCGGTTGTGAAAAAGAAATATTTCTGTTTTCAAAAGTATTTGTTTTGACAATTAAAAACATGCTTTACTATGTTGGGTACACTTGGCAAATGGGTGAGACACCAGTTCTAACTTGGGTTTGTGATACGAATCACGTTGCCGGTTTTATTGTTGTCACAATTGATTTTAGAACTAATGCAAATTTTGGTAAAGTAAATTAGTTTGTATGTCTAAATGTGTATTTTTTTAAATAAAAGATGATTCATGAAAGATTGTCAGTCAGGAGTGACCTTGAAGTCAATGTATAGTAAGTATCGGGGTGATGAATTGTATGTCAAAAGTTGAAACTGACTATAATCTAACAATGGTACCAGATCACAATTCCCATATGAATTGGACAGGCCTGGTGGTTTGCATGCTGACTGTAAATGAGAGAGTTAATAGTTTGTGTCTCTTTGTTGCAAAATACACTACAGGTTAAGGCCATGGGTGTATTATGAGAGTGATGGTAAAACCCTACTATATGATTAAAGTAACCCAAGAGTTCAAAGTGGGTGGTCTTGCCTAGCTGCTTTCCCTCTGTTCTTTCAGGTCCAAATTAGGAATGGCTAGTGCAGATGGTTCTTGTGTATGTCTGAGCAAATATCAGAAACAAACCCATTATGAATTTTCATATTTCAAAACTATATCATTGTTTTCAGGTGCTGATGAAATTATATATTTACAGTGTTAGGTAAAAGGAAATATTTCAAATTGATAATATTCTTATTTGTAAACAGGCAATTTCTGTGGAGCTTCCGTCTTCCTGGTGAAGCTCAGAAAATTGATAGAATGATGGAAAAATTTGCTCAAAGATATTGCCATCTAAACCCTGGTGTATTTAGTAATACTGGTAAGTGGTAGTAATATAAATCTTGTTTTCTTATGAAGTAGCCAATATGTGAATTACCTTTTAAGAAATGGCTCCACTTGGTTGATCAAGACACATGGTAGTGTGTCGTGTGGCCAAAACAATCTGCAGGACACAATGTGTGTTACTAACAGGAGTGATAGTTTAGCAATTTTCGACCTCCTGTAGCTCGGACTGTGGTAATTGAAACTATCACATGTTTTCAATGGATATGCTCTACTGGAACGTTACTTCATGTATATCTAACCAAAAACACCTTAGGTGTGAAAAAAAGGTGCATCCAAAAAAAAAAAGATTAACTGTGAGACTTAAAAGAATCAAGTCCAAATTGGCGGCCAAACTGGTAATTACATTTGTTTTACCCACCATCGTGCCCCAAGTTGATCAAAAAATACAGTCTGTCTAACTAATGAATGAATATTTGCTGTAAAATTCTTATCAATGCTATAAGTGTAGTTACCAGTTTGGTTACTAGTTTTGATTTCATTCCTTTAAGTTGCACAGTCAATCCTTTTTTGGCCATACCTAAGGTGTTTTTGATTAGAATATTCTAACATTAGTCACTTAACTTGACTGTGGATTATTTGAGTAACAGTATTGAGTTATAGTTTAAAATCATGACCAGTTCACAGATTTAGATGGTCATTTAGTAATCATATTGCATTACCTAGGTCAAGTAAGTTTTAAGTTGAATGATAATGCTTGAAAAATAGAAGCTGTATAGGCTAAAAAACAGTATGTAAATGGACATGATTTTATTTTACACTTTGATTTTATTACAAATTTTACATCACTTGGTGGCTCAACAATAAGCTTGAGAATTATAATTCTAAAATTTGGAGTTTGAGCCCTACAGTGAGCAGAGCACATTACGTAGCTCTATGCTGAACAAAAAGCAAAATAAATAAAATTTTACTTTATGGTTTTTACATCTTTTTACTGCTTGAGCTAAATTTTCAAATTTGTCAAATGGAAGAGTTAGAACAACTTTTTACATTCTATTCTGTCTACTAAAAATCACTAGATACTTAATATTTTGTAAACATTGCTTTACTTGTTAGTTACACAAACCATTGTCACAAAAGTATGTGGTAAATAACATAGACATTATAAGCTTTGTCTAAATTTAAGTTTTAATAACTTTAAGAAAATTCTTGAAATTCAATATGTACAACAAGTGAGTTCTGTCTCTTGATATTAATGTATTATTTACTCGTAACTATTTTTAATTAGAAGAAGGATAAAGGGAACAGTCTTTTTTTACATGGATACTTTTGAGTAAAGCTATGGATTTTACCTGTTTCATCTAGCATTAAGAATTGATTTGCAAATTGTGACACAGACCTGTTATGAAAAATTCATTTATAACACACAACATTTCAACAAGATAACTTGCCATCATCTGATGAAACAAGAAGTAACATGAAAAATTATATAAATAGGTCCTGGAAAGAATCAGTCAAATTTATAACACACAACTTTTCAACAGGTTAACTTGCTCTTCTGATTAAACAAGAATTAATATGAAAAATCACTTATGAATAGGTCCTGGAAAGGATTAGTCAAGTTTCACAGATCAATAGAGTTTGATTCCAAAATTACTAGGGAGTAGAACCATTCTTAAAAAAAAGATATAAATATGACACTGAGTGTTTGTGTACTGAAGGTTTATTAAATCTTATTAAAATAACTTTAATTTTTTGTACAGATGTTGTCTTATTTATTTAAAGTTGTTTTAACTAAATTCATCAATATTTGTTGTCCAGTTTTCTGTTAATATTGAAACAAAAATGAGTTGTACAATGACGTTCTGGTAAATAGATATTCAGCTTTCTTCTAGTTTACCTTATATAATAATCTTGGCATTCTCCATATTCAATTTTATAGATCACATTAAAAATATGATTATTGTCAAACTTCTCAGATAAGTGTTTTTAATTTTGCCTCAGGAGTAAGACTGAACTTCACATTAATGCCCATATTATAGAGTTTTTTCTAAGTTCTCCTTATTTCTGATATATAGAACAAGGAATAAATATCAATAGACAATAGTCCATAGTTAAGAGTTTGCAGTTATTGCAAATTCTCTTTATTCCATAAGGTAGGCCTGGTGGTTAAGGTGCTCAACTCGTAATCTGAGGGTTGCGGGTCTGAATCTCCATCCCTTTCAGCCATGGGAACATTATAATGTTCTTATCAATCCCACTATTCGTTGGTTAAAGAGTAGCTCAGGAGTTGACAGTGGGTAGTGTTGACTAGCTGCCTTCTCTGTAGTCTGTCACTGCTAAATTAGAAAAGGCAAGCATAGATAGCTTTCCTGTAACTTTGTACTAAATTCAAAGCAAAAGCAGATCCATAAGATATACAGAATAAGGAACAAATATCAATAGACAATAGTCTATGAAAGCTCTCTTTATTCCTGATATGCAGAATAAGTTACAAAGTATCAGTGGGCATCCATGAGCTAATTTTCATATCAGCTTTATTTTTCAAAATGACTGCACCCCCAACTGAACAAAAGTTCATAGATTTAAAATGAATGATCTCTGCTTGAATCTGATTCTAGACATTGTTGTTGCAAGGACTCAAGCTCACACAAGGTTTGTCAGCATCCCTGCCCTGGCTACAAAGATAGGAAATACAGTGTATCAATTACTCCCAACACTCCATACTCTCACTGGAGGTGATTCTGTCAGCACATTTACAGGTCAGGAAAAGAAAGTGGCCTTGCAGATTATTCAAGTCAAAGACTGAACAGCAGTTTGGAGCCCATGTACATCCAGAAAAGTCACAACTGAAATACATTGAAACTTTTGTGTGCAGTCTCTATGACAGTGATAGCAACAATGTCAGTGAGGCATGCTTCAACATATTCTGTAAATGTAGAAGGGCACAAGCTCATCATTTCCATCCTACTAAAGATGCTTTGTGAAAATGTATCTTGTGAGCAAAGATCCAAGCAACATTATGACAGAATGCTCTACTAGCACATCACTCCCATCTAGACCTTGATGGTAGTGTTTGGTGTGTGAAAGATGAAGATATAACAGTAGATTAGACTGGTTTACCTCCCATCCCTCTGTCCATGCTACAGTTTTTGTCATGTGGGTGATATGGAAACTTCCAAAGCTGGTAGTTTACACGTTTTCAAACCAGATTTCCTGCACAGACACTTGCTGTTGCACTAATGCCTGCAGCAACAACAAATCTTCTCTCCAGGTTAATGATAATGATCATATTGGTGGTGATATTCATGATGTCTGGTGAAAACTTGCCAGCATTGTGTAGCAAGACTATGTTTATGTGTTTTATCCATTTTGTACTATCGACAGTCCTTATATTATCAGAAATTTATTGTGTTGATATGCTATCATATCAGGCTTCATACATATAGAACAAGCTGTTGGGATGAGTTATTATGTTCTTCAAGTTTAGACAAAGAAGTTGTAAAAGGTTATCATATGCATAGTGTAGATAGTTACTATATTCAGATATATATACATATATATACATATTCTGTATGTGAGGTGTAAGTTTTTAATACTGTTTTATTGTATTTATATCTTTTTTCACATATAGCTTAGAAATGCTAGAGTATTTTTCCAGTTACAAAAAATTACAACTAATTGATATAGATAAAGTTTCTAAGTTTCTGTGTAACAAACAAGTTTCTGTGTTTTGGTATTATGTAAGGCTAACATTTCTTACGTTTAGATAGTAGGGGTAACATGATGCACAAAACACGTGTAACATCTTAAATACCTGGTCTATTCCATTCAAGTTTCCTTTAAAATGAGGCTGGGACATACGTATTTGGAGTTGATAAAATGCAGATTTAATCGCATCACTGGCAGTCATGATGAATATAAGAAAGTTGACTCTCTAAAATGGGAGTTTTTACAGGCCAGTGTTGCTGAAATTCTCAAGTTTTTATTAGATATTGTTGGATAAAGGTTCTTTTTTTAATTTTCTGATATATAGAAATGATTTTCTTGTCCACAGTAAATATAGCGAACATTTTTAAATGTTTAACATTTTTCAAAAATGTATTTTAAAACTATTTTTTATCAAGTTTTGGCAGCCTTTTATTAAAGAACTAAAACATCTAGCATGGAAACCATTTGACTCATATTCAGTGCATTCTTGTCTTTATTTGATACCAATGAACCTTTATTCACTCAAATGTGTAAAGAAACTCAAAATTTGGCTTGTCAGCTCATGGATTACATGGGGAAAATTTCTGTTTAATTCAGAAACACTTTCATTTTTTTATCAGCTGCAACTAATGATTGTGATTAAGTTGAATTAAAAACTGTCTAGTGTGAGGTAGCTCCTTTTCTATTTTTGTTTGTGGTCATGAGTCAAATTACAGGGAAAAGGCAAATTAGTATTGAGAGCGTTATAGAAGGCTTTTGTGACAAATCTACAGTCAAACCTTTGTACAAACACACTTTAAAGAAGAAGAAATATGCAATAAATAAAGCTAATTTTTCAGTGCAACTTGTAAGTAGATTAGCCAAAAAGGAGCTATTGAACTACCCATGATAATCTTTTCAATTTAGTTATATTTTTATGTAAGTTAAATAATTTAATAGCTTCAGTAATAACTTCTAATATTTTAGTAATAATTTTATTTTTCATACTATGAAACTTTGTTTTCAATGTGCTTTGTGTTGATTTTACTTTGACTGTTTTTTTCTCATTATCAGTATTTACGTATGGAATTTGAGACTAAAGTTTGCTATTATTTATTGTTTGTGATTTCAGATTTTAAACTCATTATTTCAGCATTTTACACTTTCACTGTACTTTCTTTTTGTCTATCATGCAAGAGTTGATCAGATTTTATTCAAACAAACAAATGTTTAAGGAACTTACCAGGCTTTTCACAGTACAGCATACTTTGTAAGCAACTAACATTTAATTTTAGTGCTGCTAAGGATATAAAGGATACAACACTCATAGTTGTGATAAATTTTACCGATGAAAGCAGATTTATGTTTTAAGTGCATTAAAAAGATTATCAAAAACAAAATAAACAAACAATATTGTACTTCCAGACACATGTTATGTCCTGTCTTTTGCCATTATCATGTTGAATACATCATTGCACAATCCCAGTGTAAAAGAAAAACCTTCAGTGGAACAGTTCATCAAAATGAATCGAGGTATCAACAATGGAGGAGATCTTCCACGGGAACTGATATTGGTAATGCATAAATTTCTAGTGTTTTAGAAACATAAGAGATGAGGTTTATTTTAAAAACTATAAATAAATTGGATGAACCAAAGCAAGATTCAGTTGAAAAACTTCTAGAACACACTAAGATAAAAAAAAAAGAAAACATAGTGGATAGAATTTTTAAAATATACTTTAGTAGAACCTAAGAAAAATAAATTATAATTTCTTTTCTAGAGTCTGTATGACAGCATTAAACAGGAGCCTTTTAAGATACCAGAAGATGATGGAAATGACTTAATGCACACATTTTTCAATCCAGATAGGGAAGGCTGGCTATGGAAGCAAGGTAGGTTTTTATCAAACATTTCTGTTAATTACCTCATATATAAACTGATTACTCCACTTTTGTCTTTGTTATAAAAGCACACCACAAAGACATCTTTAGTTTTCCTCTGACTTTCTTTTGCGTGTTAGATTGCATGAATTATGTTGGCACTCTGAACTTTAAGAATTATTAAATAGAAACTACTAAACTCTGTACATTTTTAGGCTTATAGGTATTTTTTTTTATCAAATCTTTTCGACTTAATATTAAAACATCTTTTTGAACTTAAGAAAGTTCCATTTTCAGGATGGGAAGAGTGATAAACACAAATACATGAACTGATAGCTAGTAATAGCCGAAACATTTCTGTTTAGAGCTACTTGAAACCACTTTTTTAACACTAAACATCTTGTAGGTTGTACACTTTTATACAACTTACTATGCATGAATGGACAATTTAATATCTTTAAAAGAACTTGACTTATATAAAATTTTAAAACTGATAAAATCCTTTCTTGTAAAATATATATGTTATAAAAAATTTAATGATCCTGTACAAATCTGTTAAAATTTTTATAACTTTATTTATTTTTTTGTATTGTTAATTTCATTACTATGTCTGTATTCTGTAACCTGCTCTTTTACATGGCTATCAGATTACTAGAAGCTGTAGCCATATAATAGATGAAATTCTTTGGCTTCTAGTATAGTTGAAAAGACCAAATCAGATTGTAAATATTGCTAAATACAGCTAAAAATATCACAGAAAAGCATTGTTGATTTTGATTAAACAACTTCTTAAGGATAATTACCATCCAGAAAGTTGTCTATAATCTATATAGATGCAAAGCCTAATATATGCACCTCTGGACTGTCTCTATCATTAAGAGTTTATTTGTATTAGGACTTTAACAGCACACACACTCCTAGTTTAACCTTGTGCTTATATTAGATATTTGCCACATTACCATTTCAAAGTGAAAACCTCATGCAGCTAAAATAACATATCAACTGTTAATTAAATCATTTTTCATTCATCAAACTTTCAAAAATGTAGAATTACATAATTACTGGTCAGTAGTTTTCATGAATTTAAGAACAAGTCAAAAGAAGAAAGTAAATGACTTGAATGAAAATTCTTCCATGAATCTTCTGTCAGACAAGGTTTATGCTACAGAAGAATGTGTTGATATTATATTTATGTAATTTCCTTGTAAAATATCAATAGCTTTGTTGTCAACAGAATGTAGTGTGGTAGATCAATTACACATAAGGGAAGACTAACAAACATTCAAAACATTGCTTGGATCTATGTGTGATGATAATTATTATCATACTTATGTACTCACCAGTCATTATACAAGTGCTTTGTATAACATTTTAACTTCATTATATCAAAATTCGTTTTAGCTATTTAGTCCAAGCTATTTTAATATTCATTCATGTGTATGAATTAAGTATGAAAACAAACTCATAAAGTTACTTGTAAATGAATTGATAACAATATATATGTATATATATATCTAAGGTATTTTCTATAACAACTTTTTGAGTACTGTATACAAAGTGCATAATTTCTATGTTTTTATTCTTGCTTGTCTGCGAATGAACAAAAATTAATGGGAATTTAACTACTCTTTTGAACTTATGAACCAGATTTAAATTACATTTATATGTTTTTTACTGTAATGTGTGTTTGTAATAAATGGTACTGGTATCATTGAAGAATAACATGCTGCTATTGACTTATAAAAATCTTAAGACTAATAAAAAGAATATGATGTAATTAATCATTCTAAATTTTAGCTTAGATTTGATAGCTCCAGACTTTAAATATTTAAATAATAAATATTAGTAATGAAAAGATATTATAATTGTGATTAGACCACATTTAAAACATAATACTTATATCTTTTATCTACCATTAAATCAATGAAAACTGGTCTTAGATAATTTGCCATATAAAGACAAATTTCTGAAACAAACAAACAATATCCATTGATTTTATGAAACATTATCATTAAACATTTTCTTTCTTTTCTTGTTCATTCAACATTATACGTGCTTGGTAACACTGTAATATTAACACATTTATTAATCACGTCAAACCATACATTTTCATATGCTCATAGCACTGGAATATTAACATATACACTTATTTATTAACCATGTCAAACCAATAAAAACTTCAGTAACACAGGAATCTTAATATACATGGTATGATAGTAAACTCAGTTGACCTGATTAATTCTGGTCTTAAGCAAAAGCACTTGCCAACAGCAGCATGAAATGTGAAAAAGCTGCAATTGACAAGTTATTTTACACTATTCTTAGTGGAAATCCAAATAAAACTGGCAAAGAAAGATCTGATTAAAATTATTATCGGTCTTCTTGTGATGTTCTATCACATCCTCTACCAATTAACAGATTATGCTTGATAGCTTAAACATTCATATAATATAAGTACTTCTGTTCACTTTCAGCTGCATTCAGGAATGTCGAGAGCCAGCATGGGCCCCAGGGCAAACATCCTCGCCGGGCCCCCCTTTTCTCTCTCTCTTTTAACATTTTCAAGAATTTATTAAAAAGAAGATCCTGAATTACAACAGCAACGAACTCATAAACCAGACAAAATCATAGCAGCAGCTGTTTTTACCTCACGGTATAAGCGTAAAAAACATTAATAAAGTAACAACAAATATCTATTAAATCTATAAAGTAATAAATACATATTAATTATCATTTATTAATTATCTACAATGATTAGGAAGTTTATTATTATTACTATTAAATGTTGCCTAAATCCCCATAGGGTGAGGTGATGCTTCAATTATGATTTAACACTGTGTGCACTAGTGGGGATCAAAGTATGCCATGTCTTGATTTTGTACAGAGTGGCAGTCAACATGATATTATGCATTTGATGTCAGAGTTATCAACATTTTATGTTTCACTACATCATTGATGTAAAAGCACATTTGGCAATAAAGGTGGTCAAAAACAGAAACTGTGTTGCCATACTGACACACATATGAATGGTCTGATGATAATAGCAACCACTAATGTGCAGCCAGACATCGACAGATTAGCTTCTTGTCTTGAGCTGCAGAACAGAAGGCACATTAAATGAGAATTGCATGAACTGGATGTACATTGAAACTTTGTACCTGTTTTTAATAGTTTTTTTTTAATTAGCATTTTTAGTTTAAACAGGTAGTAATTTGTAGTCTTTATTGACATATACTTCAATAAAGTCTTATGAACTGATAGGCTGGGGCCCTTCAGGGTTGTAGAAACTATATTTGTGACCTTTAAGCTGAAAAAGGTGGGAATCCTACACTGCTGATTTTGTAACAATTTGTGTTAGAGAAAATATCAAATACAATATACAGGGATATGGGAAAAACTTGATGGGTATTTAAACTGCTGTAGTAGTTATGCAAATACAATTTTTAAAATAGACAAAAGTATTTTTATTTTTCAAGTGAACACTACATTGCACTCTGTCTTGTCAAGAGTCTAATTTCACAGACATATCTTTAGTACAAAAACTTGAATAACATGTATGATTTTTTGTTTACAACAGTCTTGTACTGTTGACTAAAAACTTGCCACATGTCATGAAGGTACTTCTCTAATATGAGGTTAGTCCTGTTGACAAACCAAATGCACATTCAGTTAAAGGAACATATGTGATTTTTGTTTTTTAATGTATCTATACAGGGTGAGGTAAAAATTATTATATAATTGGTATTATACAATTTTTAATTTGTATTACATGGGTATACTAAAAAAAGATATTACAAAGACAGTTGAAACCAATCTACTTATTGTTCATTTTAGAGTAAGACATCCTACCCTGTATTTTTAGAGTAAGACATCCTACCCTGTATTTTTAGAGTAAGACATCCTACCCTGTATTTTTAGAGTAAGACATCCCACCCTGTATTTTTAGAGTAAGACATCCTACCCTGTATTTTTAGAGTAAGACATCCTACCCTGTATTTTTAGAGTAAGACATCCTACCCTGTATTTTTAGAGTAAGACATCCTACCCTGTATTTGAGTGTAAAGAATAAGCATGATTGCAAAAAAATAACACAAATAATAAAGCATTGCAGTACAGCTACAGCATGATAAACGTAAAAATAATTATCAATTTTCTTACCAACTGTTTGTCTCTAGGACTCATGAAGAACATTCAGGTGAACCATTGACAGTTTTGTTTTTCCTTACAGTAATTTTTACCACTTTGGTTATTTGGCTAGATCTCATAATGTTATCCCCCAATGGCTCAGGGGTAAGTGTGAAGGCTTATAATGCTAAAAGTCAGGTTTTGATACACACAGTAGGCATAGCACAGATAACCCATGGCATAGCTTTGTGCTTAATAACAAACAAATCTTATCATGTTTTAGAAACATTTGTGTGATATTTGTTGATGTAGTATAAAGCCGTCTTAATGAAATTCTGTAATAGGTCAAGTAATTGTAATATAGCTTTATAAATGTATCATTCTTTATTTTTTTAGAGTTTTATAGAGGTAACTTCAGTAGTGAACTATAACTTGCAGTACATCATTGAAAAGATTTTTAAAGATAGTGTGGAGCATATAACTTTATAACTCAAGAAATTTCTCACAAAGTTATCAAGAATAACGTATATTTTAAATAAAAGTTGTTGTTTTTTGTATAAATGCAACTTGTAGATCAGTGGTGAGAAACCCATGGCCCCCATGAATTCTAAAAAAATCCAACAAAGGGGATTTACAAGTACTAGTACTATCTCTAAGTGATTCAGTGATAATTCTGAAGGCTTTTAATTCTAAAAAAATGGATTTCAGTACCTGTAGTGTGCGTAATACAGATAACCCATTGTGTAACTTTGTGCTTAACAACAAACAAAAACAAACTGTAAGTGATAACAACAGGCTAAGTCAAGGTGCATTAATACTACAAGATTAAAACTTGTTTAAACTCTTCAGTCGAGAGAGTGAAACTGTTACCGAGTGATTAATGTTAAGTAATAATGTTATAGTTTACATCTGAGTCTTGCTGCCAAGTAGAGCTGCCAATGTAAAAATAAAAATTGTGGTGGGGAGCCAAGCTGGTGATGGAAGTTGAGTTAAAAATCAAAAGATTAACAAAGAAGGAAAGGATGATCAGGAAGACTGGGAGTTGGATTTGTTTTGTTTTTAATTACTATAAATGTGGTTTATTCTGATTTGAATTTGTGAATTCTATATTACAGCTTTAATATGTCTCATAAATTTGTACATAGCTTGTTTTTATTTTGATGTATCATTTTTAGCTTATGAACTGGGAAAGGGAGTTTTGCAGCAATTGAGGGACACATGTGGGACCCATGTATTAGTTTAGGTTGCTCACACGTTCAGAATTGTATGCACCAAAATAATATTAATATTCTTGCCATTAATTCATAAGCTTTGTACAATAATCAATTGCATGTTATCAAAAATTAAAATAAATGAACTTCCTAGAATAGAAGTCTCGTTTCTTATTAGCCATTCAAAATTGTTAGATTCAAATGGCATAATAATATTGTAAGTGATATGATGAGTGCTGACCAAGATCCACTAGTCAGTCTGATTAAAAGCAAACTGCTTATTTTAGTTTTTCCCAAAATTAAATGGTATTTCTGTCATAATTCGGAGCATGATTACAATTTCAAACTTGTACGTTTAGATCCTGAACATTTTTTTATATGTGAAAAATTATCTTTATTTATTAAATGTGGGTGTTACAGGTTCCTGTAGAAACCATTTAACTTAGCTCCAATATTTTTACCTCTACATATGAACTATATCTGTAATAATATAGTGCAATGATTGGTGCAGACAAATTTATCTTTGTTCACTGATGAATTGAATTCCTTATGATAATCTAGCTTTATAGATGCTAATTCTGTTGACCTTGTTATAACATATTGTAAGATATGTTTAGCTGATTTATTGTACAGCAGGAGGAGCCACTGTTTGCAATCCCACTTCCTGCTGAATGGCATCAATGACAAAGATGTAATCTGATTTTCATTGTGGATGTACATAAGCATTTAACATATTTCATTCTTGTTAAATTTTCTTTTTCAAGACATTGATTTGATTTCCTCTGAACTTGGAACCACCAGTTTTGTCACTCAACGGTGCCTTATGGGTACATTTAATTTGAAAAATAGGTTTTCCAAAGAAAACATTAGACCTGTTCTTGCAAATATGTATGTGTTTCTAAGTTTAAAAGTGAAAAAATATACAATAAACAGAAAATTATGAGAATATAGTTTTATTGATAATATGTTGACTTGTTTTTGAAAACAGAAAACTTTGACAGCTGGTACAATAAAGACATTAATTTTGTATTTCATTTTCAGGTTCATTTCCTACAAAAAATAATGGCACAGTAACTTATTTACTGTTGAACTTATTTTAAACTAGCAGAAGGTGGTCTTTTCACTGCTTTTATTAGTTGTTTATCACATGCACTGACAATACATTTTTTGAATTTTTATTCTGTTTATTGCATCCCTCTCACCAGGAAGTTCAAAACTCAGTAAGTGAAACCACAGCAGAAATGAGTGTTGCTTATCAAAGTTGTGTCTTCTCATCTGTGCTGTTTTGTGGTGTTCCCTGCTTTATTTCCATACAGAACATTTAGTGTTTGTTTTAATTTTGAATCCTGTAATACAAAGAGAAGAGACTTAAAAGCAGGATGCATGTCTGCTTCTATCATAACTTCCGTTGCATCTGTACTTGTGTATAAGTACTTTTCATTACTTACGTTGTGTTTTTCTTCTTTCTTATATATATACTTATTAGATTGTTTTATAAGTATATGTAAAATACTATTAGACTGAATCCTAGCTTAAACCTAACAGGGCAAGGGCACCTTTGTGATGGTAGAGCAGGTTGGGTTATGTATGAGAGATAGTGGTAAAATAAAAAACAGTCTTAAGTCTTTATGGGCTTATAAAATAACATATTATGAATTAAATAAGGATAAGTTAATATAGAAAATAGTTGCAACTTTAAGCACATACTCAAAAGTTATATGTATAAGTATTTCTACTTCAGTGGTATTATTGCTAAAAAACATACATTGCATACAAGATGTGTGTATATACTAAACAAACATAATAGTAACATGAATGAATAAGTTACTGTTTTATATTTTTGTGCATATCAAAAATCTCTTGGATTCCTGTTTCAAAGAAAGTTACATACTACCATATGTTTTAAAAATTCCTCAAAGAAAAGCTTAGTAATTTTGGTACTTGAATATACTGTATTATAAGTTACAGAAATATATATAGTCGGTATAAACCAGAAGTTGTAGTTACTCAGCTTTTGGCCTAACCTAAATAAAATCATGAACATCTGAATCAAGTTGTGGTAATGGTAAAATACTAGAATCCTTAGTTTTCAGAGAAAATATTCTTCTACTGCTGATTGGAAACAGGCTCCTTAAGATATAGTAATTTTCTACACAACCCATATAGCCTAACTATATAGCTAGAATGATTTCTTAACAAGTGCCTGCCTTACTCTAAATGCATCAGCTGAGTATAAATTTTATTTCATTTTCAGAGGCTGTACTCTGATGCTGGTTTAGATTGAATATATTTCTAGCTTCTGATCTCTTGAGAAATTTCCTTTACTCTTGATTACCTGTACTACAACTGTGTAAAACCTAGATACTTCATAAACTATTCCATTGCTATTTTAGTGAAACACACTGATTTGAAATAAACCATGCTTGTTTATTATGATCATTCAGGTCTGGGGGTTTTGACTGAGGATTTTTCGTCTATTATTCATTGATAGATTGATCATTATTTGAGTCATCCTTCTTCTGAAAATGTTCAGGTTTCTCCTGCATTGTCTGAACCTGTTCATTTGACAGCCTTTTTCCTCGTCTTAACCATGTTTTGCCTTCCAATGCTTCTCCTACAGAATCTACTAGGTCTAACTCTGCCTTTTTGGATATGCTTTCTCAGGTGCGTTCCATTTTCTCGTTTTCACCAATTTTGTATGATATTTTTCCTTGTTACGTGACACCCATTTTTAGAGTATCCTGTTTTCCTTCCCTTCTCTGACATCAGGTTTCATGCTGAGCATTTCATTTCTCAGTTGAGAGCTGGTGTTAACAGGCCTTGTCCATCATGGACTTATGATAATTATGCTTTGGTTTATCATCAAGCTGTTCAACCCTTTCTTGGTTCCCAGCAGTTGGAGTCATTTTTGCCAATGTGGGGGATGTCCCTGAAAATCTTATCCATTTCTTCCACACCCACTTTTGTCTTACCCTTACAGCTCTCGTACAGTACTTGTCCAACATACACCTCCTTTCTGAAGCATTTCACTGATCCCCTGAGGGGTTTTGGGGGATATATTTTCCCTCCTTACATCCACATTTGTGAGATTGTCGTCTTCAGCCCTATCCCTTCACACATGGTTTCGTTGCTGTTGGGATCTTATTGGGAAGGTTACTTTCTTGTCACAGGTTCATCTACCGTCCATTATCTTCATGATTTACAGGTGGCCCCATTTCTCCATCGGTCTGTTTTTGGGGATTTTCCAGAATTTGGAATCACATATGGAATTTGTGATACCACATTCAACCCTTTAATGTTAGGTTGCTGGTTTGTCTCATTCTGATCCCATGACCTCTCCAAAAATGTTTTCTTGTTCTGCAACCTCCTGTCCTTTACCAGTTTTTACCACTAGGGGTTCAGAATTTTGCCGTGTGTCTGAATGTGGATTTCATTGTCACCAGCAGTTCCAGTGACTATCAGGTCTTTTCCTGTCCATTGAGGAAACATTTGGCCAATTTTGTACCCCTGGGATGGGTATTCACTACCAATTCTTGTTTTGTCAGAAGTACTTTTTGTACATTTCCTTTCTCCACCATCTCTATCTGTAGTATTGATTTCCTTCCCACTAACTCTGGATTCTGTTCTGCTGTCAGTCTGTGTCCATCCGAGGCTGTGCTGACTATTCTGTCACAGAGATCTATCAAGCCTGTCAGCCAGCCTTCTCCAGGTTATATACTCAAGGCTTTTTGTTGTTCCCAAAACAAATCATGGAACTGGCATCTTGTGGTCCATCTGTCCTGCCTCAACTGATTTTTGTGATCTTTCTAGATTTACCATGGAGTCCTTTGTCACATTCATGTGGGCTTTCTCTCCAGGACTGTTGATGACTATAGTAGACATCTTGAATGCCTATCTCCATTTTTCCGAATTCTCATCAGTTCAGACACTATCTTTGGTTTGGCCACTATGGATTTCTGTATCAGTTCCATGCCTTGCCTTTGGGCTTGATTCAGCACCTTATGTATTTTATGCATGCTTGAGGGTTGCATTTACACCACTACATGGGCAAATGACTCCTGTTAGCTGATTCCAAACTGGAGTCTTCTTGTCACACACACATCTGCTGCTGATAGATGCAGCTTGTGTTGGTTGGATTGTCAATATCCACCTCATTTGGGCCCAACCTTTTCCACTTCATCTCCATTCGATGAAGCTTTCAGTTCTTCATACATTTACTGCACCCTCTGTTTCTGCACTATAATTTCTGTCACTTTTGGAACTTGGGCTTCTCTGGAAGCTCTTATTCCTTTTGGTTGGGCCCATATATGTTCTCTTCAATGGATTTTTGCTTGGGATTCCTTGAACTCTCAAGTTATCCTTCCTCCTTCCCTTACAGACAGTTTGCATTGGTGATTGAACAAGGACAACACAATGACAGGAGTACTGCTTTTTCACCTTGTCTGGATTTGCATCTGCTCAGAGATGCTTCTCTCTCTACAGTTGGGGAGCATGAGTACATCATCAGGAGACTTCTGGACAATGGTTTCATATCAAAATGTCTTACCATATCAACATCTAGGAGCTTCTGGTGGTACGATATACTTTGGTTCATTTTCTTCCTCTGGTACTGAACCAACATGTCATGCTTTTTTCCAACAATTCCACTGTTGTGGCATACATCAATCATTGAGGGGGCACTTGTTTTTGTTCCCTTTGTTTTCCAACATTAGAACTGCTTTATTGGACCCACATGCTACGGATAAGTTTCCTTATGTGTCATGTTATGGGTACTTTTTGTCTTGTGGTGGATCATTTTTCAAGACATGACCAGGTTTATATCTCAACCCTCACATTTTCAGGTTGCAATGCAATCAGTGGGGTTCTCCTCATTTGGATGCTTTTTACCACTTTACTCAAGCACCAAGTTACCTCTTTTTTTGGTCTCGGGCTCAGGCAGTGGATGTTCTCAGTCAGGATTGGACCAACCGGTATCTTTTGCATTTCTTCCAGTTTCGTAGACCTCCTTGTTGTGTGGATCTTTGAGATTCTGATGTCTGTATGTTCTTTACTGCCTTCCACTCTATTCATTTGAAATTTTTCCTCTTGTTTCCTGTTTCATCTATCCATTCAGACTTATTCCTACTCCTTTTAGTCTGTGGGCATCGTCAGTTTGATACATTTGCCATTGAAATTTCATGTATATTTTTTCCATTCCACTTATGTTCCACTTTATCTGGATCAATCTTTCCTACTCAAATCTTCAGTGGCTCATGAGAGAATTCTTCCTTCTTGCTGATTTTGCTTCCATCCATTTCCCACCTTTATTCCCAGTCTGATCTTGATAGAATTCTATGTCCAATATGTGCTCTGCATTGTTACATTGCCTGCACAGCCTACTTTAGTGGTTCTCATTCCCATCTTTTCATTCCCTGGCATCATTTATTTGTACATTTCTTTCTCCTTCTACCCTTCCAAGTTGGGTTCATCATCTGATTTGATTGGTCTATTCCTCCCTGTTTCTTTCAAATTCTGTTCGAGGTGTCAGATCAGGCACCTTATTTTTTTCCTGGCATCTCACCTCCATCATCCATTGGAGGAAATTCTTCAGCCAGGCATGTGGACTACCCTAATACATTCATCTCCCACTATCTTCACTGGGTAGCTATTTCTTACTTGTCGGGGTACTGCCTTTAGCCTGTTGCCATCCTTCAAACTTCAATGTGGCTGTGACTGGGTAAGTTGTCTTTTCTATATATATATATATTTTTCCCCCCTTCAGTGATATGTCCCATTTAGGATTAAGATCCTGCTCAGTGATGAGCATTGCCTGTCCAGGTATGTTTCCTGTCTCTCAAATCTGCACTGTATAACCATGGCCAGTAATGCACACTGTTTAAATGGCATGTTCCACAAGATCACTAGTAGGTTTTTCTTATGACATATTTGCTTCATAAATATGCCCTTCTCGACTGTACTAACCCTTGGGCTTACATGAGTAAAGCAGAAAGGGATAGGTGCCTATCACTGCCATCCCTTTGATTGAATAAATCAGGGGTGGTCTGCTTTTCAAAATAGGGCTTTTCATGGTCACCTGTTGCACTGTCTTTGGTGTCTGCATTACTCTGGGCTCTCTTCCACATTTTGTCCCCTCGTCCTGGTGTTCTTCTAGTGGAGTATGGGAGTCCTTGCCACTTTCCAGTTCCTAGCCACTCTGGTGGTGGACCATAGAGAAGTCCTCTTGAATGTGATTGCTTCCATTCAGTTGAGAATCCAGTGGTGCTTTTCTGCTGGTGTAGATGGTGTGCGATCCTCCAATTATGTGCTCAATTTGTGTGTGGTCGTATCCATGGGATAATTTGTGCATATCTGCAAATAAGTACACTCCACATCTGTGCGGTGGGTCACAGAAGTTTATCTTGCACACAGCTTTAGTGTAGTTCTATCTGGAGGGTGAGGTTGCTTATATTTCATAGATGCGGTCCACTTCCATGCAGTGGGACCCAGAAGTTGCATATGTGCTCCAGCCTTTGCTGTTATTCTATCTGGAGGATGATGTTGCTTTGGAGTAGATCTATTACATTACACTTTACCCCTTTGATTGAGATTTCTCATCCTGTCATCATCTGGATGTTGGTTCCCAGTGAGTAGTTTTGGATTTGAGCTGGACCAATCAACATCAACCCTCACATATGTTGGTTGTGTTCCTCTTCCTCACTCTATTTTCCTCATGATTTCCACTTCCATGCAGTGGATTCTGGAGATTGATATTGTGCTCCGGCTTCTGTGCATTCTATCCAGAGAATAATGTTGTTTGAGGCTACAGTTCTCCCTCTTGAGCTTCACTTTAAGGTGTTTTCACTGCTTGAGACTGATGTTGTGCAGTGGGGTGCCGGTCTGATTGAGTTTGAGTATGATGTGACCTGCCACATTGGCACATCTCTTCCACCATCATTTGGAGAAAGTTTGGTTGGTTGTTGATTTGTGCACATGTGCCCATTTTGTAGATCACTTTGCATAGTATATATTTCCATTTTACTTACCTTAAGACAAAGACAGTATGGATTCTCCGCCTACTATGGGTTGGAGGTTATATTCCTGATACTGCTTGGTTTTAGACTGGAGCTGATTGGCCACATACAGTCCTCATGCCCTAGCCTCTCTACAACTTGGAACACATCCATTTTAGCTTTCCCAACATTATTCTCTCTAGATGGTTCTTCTACAATCTTTATTCTGCGAAATTGGGATTCTGGTATACTGTGGTTCGGATTCCAATCCACCTGGTTTTCTCTCCCTTTTTGGTTGTGCTCCCCCCACTTTTTGCCCATGTATGTGACACCTCTTTCCACACTGGGCACAGAGTATACCTGGTACAAAAGTGGTGTGGTCCCCCACATATGTTCTTCTCCCAATGGGGATCACACTTCAAGGGTATTCTTTGGATACTTTTTAAGGATACTTCCTTCTTTCCCTTACACTGGTCCCTCCACCTATTCAATGTGGGATTCTAGCTACATACATGAGAAGAGGTAATGTACAGTATCGGTAGTTATTATTTTCCTATACTGAAAATATATTTCCAATAAGTACTTATCTCTTTCCACACTTCCTGCTCTTCCTCCTCACTGAAAACTGGTTTTTCCTTTTCTGCCTAATCTCAAAGTGATAGTTGAGTGGAATTGAATAGAGAGAGTCACTTGCATCAGAAGGGTGTGTTCCGTTCCTATTGGTGGATGGTTGTCGCATAATGATTTACATGCAAGATGCAGCTAAACCACATTGGTCATGAGGTATGTGGGAGTTCAAGGCTTGTGGCATGCAAACAAATTTTTACATATAGAGTGCAGCACTGAACAAGAATAGCTGTACATGTGAGAACAAGTAAGTACCAATCATAGATATATTTTCAGTATAGTAAAATAATATATTTACTACCTGGACTAGAAAGGTAAGGGAGAGAGTTGGAGAGCCACCATTATAGGTGATAGAATGTAAGGATATGTTAGAATGGTTTAACCTGAAGTATTAGGTGTTAAATGTGAATCAAACTAAATGTGAAAAGAAATATTGTATGTTGCTGGCATTCTAAGTAAGTACTTGAAATATTCAGGGTATTTCAGAATTAGTGCATCATACATGTAGAATTCCTGTACATTCCACACATTTTTTGTATAAACAAATGGACACATACTGGCATCCATCCTGGGCATAATATACATAGCTCCAAAATGTGGGTATGATCTTCAAGAGTTTTAAGTTTTTTGAAATTATGTACATCTCTATTATTGTCCTTCAGTTCAGCCAGCATATCAAGAAATAAGGAATCAATCTATTGGAAATGTGTCTTGAGATTTTGGCAATCACTAAACAATTTGTTTTTGAATAGTGTATCATTGTTCAATCACCTTTTAATAAAAAATTAATTAGCTACAAAGTTTAAGGTGATTAAGTTTAACATCATTTTCTGCAACATTTGGCATTAAATTAAAAGATTCTTCTTTATTTTGATCATTACTGTGTTGGAATAGAAAGATTAACATAAAAATAGTAGTAGCTATGTGTGATAAGACAGTGCATACTAGTAATCAGAAACTGAAACATATTTAAATAGATTAGCCATACTGTACTTTACCTTTCTTCTGTCTTTTCCTTGTTTTTTTTTTTATAAACCCTATTAGACTTTTGGCATGATTTTGTACCTTTTCCGACATTCCTGGTTTTAATTGCTTATAAAAAAATGATTTAATTGCAGCCATATCATGTGGTATGTTGGCAAAGTGTTTTGTATGACAGTTTGAGCTGTATATATGTATACCAATAAGGATAACTGAAACTATGGTTTCTGTCACTGTAAGCATTGTGTGTTTTGTTGTTTCTTGTAATTATAATTGTTACAAATGTAAAATAATTTATGAAATTAACAAAAATAGAAAATCTTTGTTTTTTGTAACAAGGTTTCAAATGTGATTTCTGTTTGTTATATTGTATTACATTTGAATATTGTAGCCACTTAATAAGACTGTTGATACCTACTTCCAAGTATTAGTTTAACAGTTTGTGTAGTGCTTGTTGACAAAAACCACAAATATTAGCCTTAGAATATATGATGAGATTTCTAACTTCAACTGTAGGCTGTTAATATAACAGTGTCCAGATATAGCAATTTTTAGTGAAAGTGTATCATCCAAGTGACAAGAATATAATAATAAATGACTTAAGACAATATTATTAAAACTTACCAACTACAGTGCAAGTTTTCTAAATTCTTGCTTAGTTTTTCAGTCTTCCTACTTGTGATCTTCCCTTCTCTATCTCCAAATATTAAAATATTGAACATTTATCACAAAACTATTGTAAATTAACTGCCAATGGGTTGGATGTGTCTGTTAGAATGAGCATAGCTGTTCCATTTGTGGATGTCTGTGAAGCACAAAAGGAATATTGTTTTTAAAGAAACAGTCAGTATTTGTGTTCATTGTGTCCTATCCTTAAGAACCCTGAAGCAAATTGCACAATTAGGTCATAGTTCTTAAAAGTGTTGATAACAGTTTTATTTCATGTGAGGTTTCTATTAACTATGAAAATGGAAAATGATTTATATTTTATATATCTGTGAGCACCTATCCCGAAGGGCTAACTGATGCATCAAAATATTAGAGTACTTCATACAACAGATTGGTAACATTAGATAACCAAAATTTTTAAGCTAAAGCTGCTATCAAAAGCGACCATACATTACTTTACACAAAAAAATTGTATCAATAGTGTTAAGTTTAAGTACTGAACACTGCATTAGTGTTTATTGGTGTATTATTAACTGCTATATCCACCTGTTGAACATTCCACATTAGCAAATATAGTTATCTTAGTTACATTTTTTTATGTTTCAAAGAAAAGTGCATGCATTGATCTTTTTTTAATTTGTTTGGTAGATTTATAAAAACAGAAAAACATGAAACAAATATCTGATATTGATTGTATAAGCATCCAACTGAATAGTGTCAGATGTTAGATATATCACATTAACTTTCTTGTATTTAATAAATTTGAAAGAAATCATAAATGCAGTTCTCTATGGCAAATAATAAATGATTAAACTAGTATATACTAGCTTGCTCTGTGTCAAGATTTTTTTTTTTACGTCCTGTAATTGCTAGATTCACAATATCTGCCACAACTAGATTCCAATTTTGTACAATACTTTAATGTCATATAACAAAACTGTGAGGTTCTCTTACTAGGAGCCCCCCAGTAGCACAGCGGTATGTCTACGGACTTACAACACAAGAATATGGGTTTCGATACTCGTGGTGGGCAGAGCACAGATAGCCCATTGTGTAGCTTTGTGCTTAATTAAAAACAAACAAACCACCTACTGGGCATTGGTTTCATAATATTTAAAAAAAAAGTGAGATCCACTTTATTGATATTGGCTTAACTATTTAGTCTACCTTTTAAGCATAAGGATTAATTGTATGATAGAACTGCAAGTTCTACATGTTGTCCATTGTTTAGCAAATTATGAGATAACTGTTTCATTTATATTGACTTAAAATACTTGACAAAAATATTAAGCATTCAATAAGCAGTAGATGTCCCTGAATATATGTAACTTGAGAATTCCACTTGCTTAGGTGTATAATTGTATGTAATGTTTGAAAGATCTACCAATTAAACATTATATATATATATAAATGCAAAACCCATTCATCACTGTTTTAAGCGTTTTGAAACTGCAACAATAATTAATTAAAAATAAAGTAGTTTAACTACAGTGATAATCTAATTAAAAACAAAGTATTGTCACTTCAATGATAATTTAGGTAAAAATGAAATGTTGTCACTGTGATGATAATCTAGTTAAAAACATACTTAACAAGATGCTGTTACATAAGAAAAGAGATTGAGAAAGTTTTTATAAGGGAAGCATTTGTGAAAAAGTTTTACTGTAAAAGCAGAAAATGCAAAACAAATAGAAAGTTTCAAAGGCCAGATAGAGTGGAAATATGATGAAGTTAATTTAATCAGAATGTATGGTTGGTTACAAGTGGCATTTCATGTTTGTGTATTTAAAGTTTTCCAACTGACTTCTTGTTTTTTTTTTAGGTGGTCGCTACAAAAGCTGGAAACGACGATGGTTTATTCTCAATGACAACTGTTTGTATTATTTCGAATATACAACTGTAAGTTTAAAAAATATATATATATATTAATACTTTGAATTTGACAGGTAGTACTGCTGAAGGTTTTATTCTACCTAATCATACGTAATACAGAAGAAAGCTCATATTCTATATTGTAATTGAACTGTAATCTCACTCTACACAAGTACTTGTATTGCATTTATGATTCCATTAGTAAATATCAAGATATTTATAAAATAATTTTAAATTCTTAACTAAATGGTCGAACTTAATAATAACTAAAAGTACATGCTGTATTCTTCTTGGGCCTGACATGGCTTGGTGGTTAGGGTATTCAACTTGTAATTTGCAGGTCGCAGGATCAAAACCATGTATAAAACTTACACATTATATTTAATTGATTGCATTTTAAAACTGTAACTAATTTCCATGTAGTTATTATTTTCAGTCCAAAATAAAGAAACTGAAGACATATCCACAGCAGGTCTGCTTGTTAGGATACTCGACTAATAAACTATGTATACATTTTTTAGATACAATATTAAGCTGTTGTAGCTGATGATGATGCTGTTCTTAATTTTAAGTTTTATTTCTCAAAACAGTTAATTTTTTTATACATAGTTAAGTTCTGCTGTTTTTATTCATTTGTTTTGATTTATTTTATGTTTGGATCATATTTATTCAATGTGTAGGAGGGTTTAGATCATACTGAAACTCATTGGATAAAAAGTGTTAATTTAGCTATTTGATCTGCTATAAAGCAACCTATAATGTCAGAAAGAGAGCAAATTTGGCTATGTGGTCTACCGTATATCAAACTAGCTGGCTAGTAGGAGTGTAAACAGATTGGTCTATCATATATCAAACTGGCTGGCTAGTAGGAGTGGTAACAGATTGGTCTACAAAATATCAAACTGGCTGGCTAGTAGGAGTGTAAACAGATTGGTCTATCATATATCAAACTGGCTGGCTAGTAGGAGTGGTAACAGATTGGTCTACCATATATCAAATTGACTGGATAAAAGGAATGTTAACAGATTGGTCTATCGTGTATCAAACTGACTGGCTAGTAGGAGTGGTAACAGATTGGTCTACCAAATATCAAACTGGCTGGCTAGTAGGGATGTTAACAGATTGGTCTATCATCTATCAAACTGGCTGGCTGGTAGGAGTGTTAACAAATTGGTCTATCATATAACAAACTGGCTGGCAAGTAGGAGTGTTAACAGATTTGTCTACCATATATCAAATTGACTGGATAAAAGGAATGTTAACAGATTGGTCTATCGTGTATCAAACTGACTGGCAAGTAGGAGTGTTAACATATTAGTACAGGAGTCACCAAACTTTTTTCACAACGGGCCAGATAACTGAGAGAATGACAAGCGTGGGCCGCATAACCATTTTGTTCAATACAATCCAGTGAATACACAAAAACTAAAGACAACAAACATGTTTATTTACCAAAAAGTTATCAAAGAAGGCGATGTTAGCAATAAGATAGTTATATCACACCCAGTGCGCACTTATCTGAATCTCACAAACTATGCAGCAAAAAAGGTTAGTGAGATTTGTGAAACTGGCATTTAGCTTTTGAGATATCATCAGTATTTGTTTTGGAATTGCTGCATCCAACCAAGAGAATTGCTTTCAAATGTTCATCAGTCAACCTCGTTCGATGTGCTGACTTCACGTACTTCGTTTTTGAAAATGTTTGCTCACAGACATAAGTTGTTCCAAACACTGATGCCATACCAGAGGCAAATTTCTTCAACTTTGAAAACTCATCATCAGGTAAGCAATGATAAAATTCAACAAATTTTCCTTCTCTGTGCTTCTCTTTCAACAAGTCATTTGCTTGCAAATCAGTGAGCTCCAACTGTAGTTAACTGGCACGTCATAAAGGTTACAATCAAACGGATTCCGAGAACAGAAGAATGTCACTCTTAATCCTGTCGAGATCTAAAAATCTCTCAAAAAAATGCTTATTTAAGTCACTAATTATCTTTTTCGTAAAACTCGAGGTTGACATCTTCTGCGATTCCAGTGCGAAACTCTTTGAAACACTGAAAATGAGAGAAGTTTCCTCCTTCCAGTTGTGCTTCAAACAATGATAGCTTTCTCCAAAATCCTTTGATGATTCTGTAGAGATCACAGATAAGGTTATCCTTTCCCTGAAGTTTTAAGCTCAATTCATTCATGTGGGATGTGATGTCAACCAAAAATGACAACTTTGACAGCCAGGTAGGATCTGACAGAAGTGGATCAGCTCTATCCTTTTCAGTGAGAAAAATATCTATTTCTCTTTGGAGCTTATAAAAATAAAACAGAACTTTACCGCAGCTGAGCCACCTCACTGCTGTGTGATAAGGCAAGCCACAGAATTCAGAATCAATTTCTTCAAGAAAAGCCTGGAACTGGCTGTGATTAAGTGCATGACCCCGAATGAAGTTCACCGCAGAAACGACTGGTTTCAGTACACAAGAAATATCTAAGTCTTTCCTACAGAGTGCTTGCTGATGTATAATGCAGTGTATAAACAGAGCATCCAGGAGTTGAAGATCTTCCAACTTAGTTCGTATCTGCCCCACCAGACCCTTCCTCACTTCAGCCATGTTTTTTCCTCCATCAACTGTAACACATCGAAGCTGATTCCACTGAAGGTTATAGCCTTGCAAAGTTTTCTGCACTTCCATGAAAATGTATTCTCCAGTTGTTGTTTCGTTCATGCTGCAAACGGATGCCAACTCTTCTGTGATCTGAAAGTCCAAATTAACACCACGAATGAACATGAGAAGTTGTGACGTACTCGAGAGATCAATAGACTCATCCAGCACCAGAGAATACCACAAGAAGTTTCTAGCTTTCTTGCGTATCTGTAACACTATGTTCTCTCCAAGTTCTTCTGTTCTCCACACAACTGAACTTGCTGAAAGGCTGATACTTCCAAACAAATTGGCTTTCTCAGGACACAAGTCATTTGCTGCTTCCATCATACACTCTTTGATGAAGTTGCCGTCAGTAAACAGTTTTCCTCGCTCTGCCAGCTTATGCACTATTTTGTAACTTGTACGAGTGACAGATTTATTTTCAGCAAACATTCTCGTGAGGAGATTCCTTTGAGATTCCAAAGTATGTTTCATGAACTCAAATTTCTCAGAACGCAACTTTCCAGAAAACTTCGATTATGTTGACAGATGTTTTGTTTCATAGTGACTCCGAAGATTGTACTCTTTCAAAAT